ATGGGTGTGTGTGGGCATGTGTGGGCGTGGGCATGTGTGGGCGTGGGCACCAGCAAGCGCCCCCCTCCCCCCCCCAACCATTTCTCCAGCCCCTTTCTTCCCTGTGCAGCTGCTCTGTTGAGTTCCTTTCTTCTTAATGATTGAATGATGTGTATGTCTGTGGGTATGCGAACGCGAGTGAACTGGCTCCCCCTGTCGCTGGGGTTGCAGGAGATGGTGAGCTGCCTGATGTGGGTGTTGGGAATCGAGTCAAACATGTGTCTTCTGCAAGACCAGGATGTGTGCTCAGCCACCAAGCCATCCCCAGCCCAAGAGAGCTCCTTTTCGTTTTCCTTTCTTTTAATAAAACCACTTATTAGCCCGAGAAACCCCCGTGGTTAGAAGTTACGGATGAAGTAGGAGAGGCCTCCTTTGAGTGTATTTAGTTTTCAGTCTTGCTGGAATGTCTGTTTCAGGAAGGCAGTGACCTCAACTTTCCTCTCCACCCGGTATTTCCAGCGCTCAATCATAGGTGCTTAGAAAATACTTGTTGATTGAATAGTAATTACATGTTTCCACCAGGCAGGTACTATTATCTTTTTTAATGAAGGAAGAAACTGAGTCACAGAGAAGCTATGTGAACTGCCCAGTGTCAACAATCTGGTCAGGTTTTTGTTTTTTGAGACAGTCTCACTCTGTAGCCCAGGCTAGCCCAGGACTGTAGGCAGGAGCCACCATGTCAGGCTTTAAGTCTAAGATTTGAACTCCTTTCTGCCTGGCTCCAGATCTGATCTGTCCCCGCCCCCTCCCCCACTCCAACCCTGGGAATCAAACCTGGGACTTTGTAGACGTGTGGTGGTTGGTTCTCTATGTGTCAGGTTTTAGAATTATCCAGGAGATAAACTTCTGGGCATGTCTGTGAGGGAGTTTCTAGATTGGATTCGTTGGGGTAGACCCACCCTACCTGTAGGCAGCATCATCCTGTGGACTGAATAAAAAGAAGTGATTGGGGCATTTTATCTCTGCGTTGGGATTAAAGGTGTGTGCCTCCAGGCCCAGCAATGATTTATCCTATTTCACTAAGTTCTTTATTTTTGGTTACGTATTAGTGTGTGTCTGCACATGTGGGTGTAGGTGCCCGCAGAGACCAAGAGGGGGCGATGAAGGTCCTGGGGTTGGAGCTACCAGGTGGCTGTGACTCCTGATGTAGGTGCTGGGAACTGAAGCCCGGTCCTCTGCAAGAGCAATGTATGCTCTTAACCTCTGGGCCATCTCTCCAGCCCTGGGTCAAGGTTTTGCTTTATTACCCTGGCTGGCCTTGAACTTGTCATCCACCTGCCTCAGCCTCCCCAGTAGCTTGCTCTACTGCTCCAGCTGTGGCTTGGAGCTTGTGTTCTTCATTGGTGTCCTACATCTGAATCCCCCACGAAGTGAAGAGTGAGAACCTGGTCCACGTCTCTCGGGTGCTAGACACCCAGTTCCTTATCTCCACTGAAAATATCTTGGAAGTGTTACGGATTCAGTGACGTCTCTGTGTGGGAGACTCCTGGGGTCTCAGCAGGGAATCTTGTTTGCAGGTAGGCCCTTTGTAGAGATTATCAAGTTGACGTGAGGTCATCAGGATAGGTCCTACCTAGGTCAGTATCCCTGGTGTTGGCATCATGGGAAACTGGGACACAGAGGGCTGGGCACGGAGGGAAGATGATGTGAAGAAATATAGGGAGGAGTTGGCCATCTAGTAGCCAGGGTTTGGGGCAGATTCTCTCCCTTAGCTCCAGCTGGACCAGCTCTTGCTTAGGTCCTCATCCTGTGTCTTGGCCATCCAGTTCTCATTTTTTAAAGATTTCTTTATTTTTGTTTTATGCGTAGGAGTATTTTGCCTGCATGTATGTAGTACCATGTTCAGGTCTGGTGCCCAAGGATGACAGAAGAAGGCCTTGGATCCCTTAGAACTGCAGATGTGGACAGTTGTGAACCACTGTCCTAGTTAGGGTTTCTGTTCTGTGACGAAGCACCGTGATCAAAAGCAAGTTGGGGAGGAAAGGGTTTATTTGGCTTACACTTCCATGGCACAGTCCATCACTGAAAGAAGTCGGGACAGGGACTTAAGCAGGGCTGGAACCTGGAGGCAGGAGCTGATGCAGAGGCCATGGAGGGGCGCTGCTTACTGGCCTGCCCAGCCTGCTTTCTCACAGAACCCAGGACCACCAGCCCAGGGATGGCACCACCCACGATGGGCTGGGCCCTCCCCCATCAATCACTAATTAAGAAAATGCCCTACAAATTAGCCTGCAGCTTGATCCTCTGGAGGCGTTTCCTCAACTGACGTTTCCTCCTCTCAGATGACTCTAGCTTGAGTCAAGTCGGCATAAAACTACCCAGGGCAGCCACCCTATGGGTTCTGGGACCTGAGCCCAGGTCCTCTTCAAAATCAGCAGGTGGTGGTCCAGCCCCAGCTTCTGTGGTTTAAGTTGCTTGGCTTGTAGCATTTTGTGATGTTAGCCAGAACAAAAGTCTGGGGTTCTCTTTAAGACTAACATGTACTATTAACCGCAGAGCCATCTCTTCAGTTCCTATTTATTTATGTTTTTTTGAGACCTGGTGTCTAGCCCAGGTTGTCTTTGAACTCCCCTGTAGCCTGAGGATGGCCTCAGCCTTCTGAAGCTCTTACCTCTTCCTGAGTGCTTGGAGTACGGCTGTTGCCACCACACCTGCTTTATGTGGTACTGGGGATGGAAACCAGGGTCTGGTGCATGCTGGACAAACACTACCACCTGAGCTGTATCCACAGCCCCGGGGACCTCACTTTAACCAGATCACCTCTGTGACGATCTTACCGCCAGTCAGGGTTGTGTGTTGAGCTACTCGGGATCAGGCTCAGTACGTGGCTGTGGGACTGTGAGGTGGAGGCTGCTCACGTCATGGCCGACCAGTAAGCAAGTGGGGCTAGAACCCAGGACACTCTGGTGATTTCCAGGACCCGTCCCCAGTGACCAGCTTCTGCCAGTCAGTGCCCATCAACTTTGTCTGTTGTCCCAGGAGGACACGAGCCCTGTTGCATCAAGGCATCCATGATCTTATGTGAGTGGCATTCGATCATCTCTACACAGGTCCTGTTTCCCAAAGTATCCACCTTCACAGGGGCCAGGGAGACAGGAATGCGTATGGGACACTGTCCTCCCTCAGGCCCGGGTGGAGTCCGTCCTCAGCTCTGATCTGTCTGTCCTCACCTGTGTCTTCTAGAGGAGGAGCGAGTGGACATTCTGGTCAACAACGCAGCCGTGATGCGGTGCCCGCACTGGACCACGGAGGATGGCTTTGAGATGCAGTTTGGAGTCAACCACCTGGGTGAGGTCTGGGCTGAGGGCTTGGTGGTTTCCATGGGATGAGAGTGGGTTCTTGGTGGGGAGTCACCCACTCTGGGGGCGGGGTGGAATCCTGCTCCATTCCTTTAAAACTTATTAATGTATGTGTCTGTCCCATGGACTGGGTGAGTCTTCATTTTTTTCCTTCTATTACTTTTAAAAATTAGCTTTTAGGTCGTCATAGAAGGGATGGTATTCTCATACTGTGTGTCCTTAGACCTTGGTCTCACTCGTTACTCTCTCTCACCCACCGATCATCCCTCCACCCTTTCTTCCTTCAGTCAGTCCTCTTTCAAAGTTGTATTTTTGAGGCTGTGGTAAAACACCCTGGCAGGAAAGCAGCCAAGGGAGACAGGGCTTGCTTATCTGGCTCGAGGTTCTGGCCCCATCACTTTGGGAAGTCAAGGCCACCGGGACTTGATGAGGCTGCTCACGTCACATCCGAGGTCAAGAGCGGAGCGATGCATGTGCGCCATCCACTCTCTGGCTAGATCTTCCCGCATCAGTGACCGTAATCAAGATACCCGCCCACAGACCTGGCCACAGCCGGCGTGACCCAGGCAGCTCCTCTCTGGGGCTGTTTTCAGGCTGGGTTGTGCAGACTGACAGTGAAGACCACTGTTTCTTCCCTTCTGTTTCTCTCTCTCTCTTTTTTTAAAAAAGATTTATTTTTATTGTGTGTGTATGCATGTTGCCTGCATGTGTGTCCATGCACCACGTGCATGCCGGTGCCCTCTGAGGCCAGAGGAGGGTACCAGATACCCTAGGATAGGAGCTATGAGCAGCCATGTGGGTACTAGGAATTGATCCCGAGTCCTCTGGAAGAGCAGCCAGGGCTCTTAACTGCTGAGCCATCTCTCAGCCCTGATTTCAGTATTCTTTATGGCCTCTTATTTCTTCATTGCATGTGTCTATCACATTTTCTTTAAATTTTTCTTTCTGCAACCAGGTGGTGGTTGAACCAGGTGGACACCTTTAGTCCTCGCACTGGGGAGACAGAGGCAGGT